ATACTCACAAGGCAATATGTGGGGAATGAACTTTACACCTGCGGGGAGGGGAGGGGGGGAAGGCAGGGGGAGTAGATTGGAAGGCAGGAAAAGTGGAAGAAAAACAAGGGAGGAAGGTAACAATATTCAACAAGAAATGCATTCACTACCTTATATATGTAAATGTAACCCCTCTGTACATCACCTTGACAATAAAATTAAATTAAAAATAAATAAAAATTAATAACTCAGAAAAGTGCTAATAGTCAAAAATGTAAATATTTATATACAACCAAATGATGCAATATCATTCTTGTATAAAATTTAGAAAGGTAGCCTTGCCTTATATATATATATATTTAAATATATAAATATAATTACATATATTTATATATATTTTTTTTTTTTTAAAAAATCAGTCGTGGACCTGAGCTCTGGGCCTGGGCACTGTCCCTCAGCTCCTCAGCTCTTCAGCTCAAGGCTAGTGCTCTACTACTTGAGCCACAGCGACACTCCCGGGTTTTTTATTTCTGCTTATGTCGTGCTGAGGAATTAAGCCCAAGGCCTCATGCATGCAAGGCAAGCACTCTACCACTGAGCCACCTTCCTAGCCCTGCCTTATATTTTTGTATGCAGAAAAGCCAGCATTTATAGAGTTGAAGCACAACAAACTACTAGACCTTTTTAATATTTCTTAGTGTTTTGAATATGCATGATGATTTTTAAAAAGTGGTTTTCAAGTATATTTTAGTGATGATAAACTATTCAAATTAAACTATACACAGAAAGACAACAAGCAAACAAGTGTGAGGAGAAATACAGGTAAGAGTTTGGTTTGGTTTGGTTTTTGAAAAGTGGGAGGATCAATCCCTTGAAATCTTCCAATCCTGTATACTTATGTCTATCAGAACAAATCCAACCACTCTCACATTATTCCTGTTAAAATAAAAAATAATTTTTTAAAGAAATGTCACATGTTTTATGATAGGATCACATTATGTAAGTAATAACAATAATTAAGATCACAAAATGTATTTGGTTGTGGAGGGTGTAGGTATATTTTTTAAATTATAGAGAAGAGAAAATTATTGGTGTTCCACTGAGGACATATTGAACAACTATCAAGGAATGACTTCACCTCTTATATATGAGGACGCCATAAAAATGTATAGAAGCTAGAATTGTATAGCAGTGTAAGAAGCTCATCTTGTTCAGATAAGGTCAAAAGAAAGAAGGAAGGAAGAAAAGCGGAGGGAGGTGGCAATGGTGTTGCTTAATTCTGTGAGCAAAACCACTTCCTGATGATTAATTCTTCAACAACATAAATAACTACAATTTGTTAGAATAAAAGCATATAATTTGAGATACCTGATATGGAAATGAAAGTAATCGGGCTAAAGAAGGTAAAAATACTAGATGCCATAAATGAAAAAATGAAAATGATTCATAGAAAAAGCTAAATCTTTAAAAATGCTTATTTGCTAAATATATTAAAAGACAAGTGACACGTTGTAAAAAATTATAACATATCTATATAAAATAAGATTTATTTGCATAGTATATAAAAGTCTTCACAAATCTGTAAGTGAATAAGCAGAAAACTAGGAAGAAAATAGGACGTAGAAAGAAAACTTCATAAACTTTGAGGTAGAAATGATCAAAAAGTGTGTGAGAAAATGTTCAGACTATGATTAAATAATGCAACTGTAAACAGTCTCTCAGGCATTGATGGCTCCCACCTGTAACCCTTACTACTCAAAAGGTGGAGACCATGAAGATTGGGGTCCTAGTCCAGCTGAGGAAGCAAGTTCATGAGACCTCTTATGTATGTATGTATGTATGTATGTATGTATGTATTACTGAGCTGGTTCTGGGGTTTGATTTCAGGGCCTGGTTGCTGTCCCTGAATTTTAGTGCTCAAATCTAGCTCTCTACCACTTGAGCCACAGCCACATCTTCACTTCTGACTTTTTGGTGGTTAATTGGAGATAAAAGTCTCATGGAATTTCTGTTCAGGATGTATTTGAACCTTGATCCTCAGATCTCAGCCTCCTGAGTAGCTAGAATTACAGGTGAGAGTCACTAGCATTTGGCTTATAAGCCCTCATCTTAACTACTCTCTGGACTGAGTGGTTCACATTTGCCAACTATGTGGAAAAGCATAAATAGAAAACTGTGGTCCAGGCAAATAGTAAGATAGTTCTAAAAAAATAACTAGAAACTAACGGGTTTAGAGGCACGACCCAAGTGATAGAGTACCTATGGAGCAAAAATTCAGTCTAGGAATTTAATTTACATTTTCTAGGAATTTAGTTTACATTTTCTACATGGAGAACAGGACCTATTTCTTTCTCTATTCCCTTTAACTATGTTATACTAAAATAAAATTTTGAAAAGTTTTAAAAAGTAAAAAAAATAGTTAAGTTGGGACTTCACTGGAGTTGGAACTCCAGTATTGCCATAAATAAATAATTTAAGTAATGATAATAGTATGTATTCTAATTACTCTAACATAATATGACACTGCACATATATAAATGTGCATATATACTTTCACATATATACATTATAAGATGGACTTAAATGATTCTATGGTTTCAGTCTGTATGATCATTATAATTTCTATTATCAGCAAGAAAATAGATATAAAGGAGAGAGATATTGACCTTTGTGCTGGTGTAGACAGGGCTCTATCTGGTAGTCTAGATGTGGTCAGTGTCATGTTCCTAACCACTTTACTGTCCTCACTTCTTTTTTAATCATTTTAACCTTTGGGTACATTGATGCCCTCAGCCATTATCCATTCCCAAATGATATATTTTTCAAAAACAACATTTAAAAGCCTAGAAGCAAAATGTTGCCTTAGAATAGTTCTAGAAATGGGAAATCTTTATGACCGTTATTGTTATAGGAATCAGTAGCAGATAAAGCAACATAATGATGAGTGAATGAAAATCTCCTCTCAGCCATCACCACACCCCACTGGACAAGTGAGAAAGTCATGTCAGCTTCACACCATGGGCCAAGAAAACTCATCCCGAGGATCAGCTGCCAACCTAATTTAGACATTGGCCAGGAGGCCAAGCCTCAGCTGCTCCCTCAGCCTTGCTGACAAAGGAGAAGCCCAGTTGATTTTTCACACAGGCCTGATAGGCTGAAACTGATTTAACAGAATTACTTCTAGGAAATTTTAAAAAGTCCCAAATCAACATATTTTTCTTCAAATCAGAATGCGCTGAAATGTGTTCAAAAGTGGAAAAATATCAGGATGAATAACATTGTTTTTAGAATTTACATGGATTGTCTAGAAATCAGTGATGTACCCCTGATTTGAAATGGTAGAAGGGAATACAGAGAGATGAAAAGAAATTCCTAATACTAACGGGAAGAAATGTGGGATAATGGGATAGAAGAACTGGAGATAGGCCTAAGAGATAAAGAAGTTACATTTTTAAGTACAATTGGGAACCTAGTGGTGCATGCATGTCTGACAAATTCAATGTGGGAACAATGGAATCCTGCTCTAAATGCCTCTCATAAAGGAACTTGAACCTCCATTTATTCAGACCCAGTTTGAATGTAAATTTTTATTACAATCACCAAATTATTGTGACCACACATTTCTCTTGTGCTATTACTTGAGTTAATTACATAGTTTTTCTTAACTTTAATAAAAATTATTTTCTTCAAACTTAATTGTTCCTATATAGTTTTTAGAGAATATAATCGTTTATTTTTTTTATTACATCTTAACACTAACAACTTCTATCCTATCTTTTTTTATCTTCCAAGTTTGATTACCTTGTGTCAAATTGATCAGACTTCATTTTATTAAGAGAACTTCATTCTTTAGCTCATCTTAAGTTAATAGCAATTATTCTACTTAGTTTAGTCCTTATGATTGTTTCAATAATTTTAATAATTCTTAGATTATTTTTACTATTTTCTGTTAGGAGCTCTGGATTCATTGTACACAATATATTTTACCATTTCCATGTTAGTAGTTGTGCTAATGCTTAATTGTGTGCAATATGACACTTGCTGGGGTTGGTTTTTCAGAGTTAATAGGGAAGCATCAAAAGTTAAAGATGGCAGAAGTCAAGGTAAAACTGATGAACTCATAGAATCCCCACATTGCTCTTCATTTCTTCTCTGTGATAGCTGGATTTGTTTTTCCTAACACCAAGTACTTAAAATTTATAACTTGACTAAATAAGACTTGTTTTCTTGCCAGAGTTGATTACCAATATAAATTTTGAGCTAGTCAGCTTCAGTTCATGCTAATAAGAATATTCAATTAATGAGCAAAACATCCTGAATACTTTGTATACAAATTAGATTTTAGCAGAAAATATATAGCCTAAATAGACAACATTATATACAAAACCATCACCCCTTTATTCCTGCAAGCTGTTCCTTGCATATTACTTGTAAATACTGTATCCTTTTGTTCCTTCTATTAAATGAGCTTTAAACATCTGTAACTGATGTCTATGAAAGCCTGAAAACATAGGACATGTGCCAATATTTATTTTTAAATATTTTCTGTAAATATAATGACCAGGAATATAGCAGAGACACATGACCTCAGGAGTCACATTTTTAGAACAAAAGCTTCCTCAGTTGCAATGATGTCATCATGAAATCAGGTCCCACATTCTAAAATAAACTCATCGCCATATGAATTGCTACCTTACCCAGTTATTTTTGTAGTTGTCTTTTTACCAGCTTCCTTACAAGTGTTGGGGAAATTTCTCACAATAGGAAAACAAATTCCTTTTATGTACATGCACATTTTATGCACATGCACATTTGCTCAAAACTGTTCAGAAACTCCGCCTCTTGAATCACATTGCACACACACTTGTGCTCCAGTTATACACACACACACACACACACACACACACACACACACACACAGACTCAAACACATGGTTTTAGCTAAATATTCTAAGAAAAAGTTGACATAGCTTCCAGAAACATTAAGGTAGCTCTGCCCAATTTCACAGCTAGGGACTCACCTGTGGACGTGGATGTCCTGTGACGAGACAGGTCAATTCTAGGGTTTCTCCTTCGCGGATTGTGTAGACCCTTTCAGAGTAGCGTTCTTCCTCAATGTTACAGGCCAAGCCTGAATGCACAATACGAACGGTTGGAGGAGCTGTTGGGTCAGGAAGAAAAGAACAAGATACATGAAAATCTAAGTATTTGTCTTCCCATGAAACATGGTGATTGAAAGAGCAATTCTTAGTAGACCTCACCATGGTCAAATCTATCTAATATGTTGACCTTCCCCCACGAGGTTAACGGTGTTACTGGACAAAAGGCCTTATATTTAAAGCTCACCAAAACATTCTGAAAATGGCAAGGGGAAACAACAGTGGAAAAAATTCTGGTGTCTCTGGAAATCACTAACCACATGGACCATTAAAATGTACCAGTCAATTATCTTTCTTTCTGAAATTCCAACTTCAACCTAGTAAAAAATGTAACATTGGCTAATGATGGCTCACACCTGTAAACCTAGTTACTCAGACTACTTAAGGTTCCAAGCCAGCCTGAGAAGAAAAGACCAGAAGAGATTCTTATCTTCCAGTTAACCAGGATAAAGCTATAAGTGGAGCTATGGCTAGAGTGGTAGAGTAGCAGCCATGAGCAAAAATTTTAAGTGCCAGTGCCAGCACACGCACACACACACATACACACACACACACACACACTTGCAAAATATATTAGGTTTTATATAACAAAGCAAATATTTGCATGGCTCATTACAATATTTCAGTGATTAATTTCACCAGTAGTAAAATATCTTGCTTACCCCCAAATTAGTGTGACTTTTACATTAAGGTGGAAATTGAATGGTATACCAAAAATAGATAGTACAAAAGAAAGAAAATTAATGGGGGGGGGGGGGAAGGTAAGCATTTGAATTAAAAGCATCATTTACTGAATAATTATAAAGTTGTGTGGAACAAGTTAATAGTGAAGGAATAAGGAGGTAATAATGCTCAATAGAGAATATACTCATTACTTTACTCATGTAACTGTAACTGCTCTGTACAGTATCTTTACAATAAGAAATATATACAAAAAAAAGGTATCATTCTCTGGAACTATTTTTAGCACCTCCTACTGACATGAACAAAAGATGAGCACACTAAAAACAATGAGTAATGCTGCAAGTCACAGCTGAAAAGTGTAAATTTCTGATTCAAGAGTTAGTTCTCATGAAACTGTCTAAATTCCTAAATATAATTCTCTCCTATTTCAATGCAAAAGGGCCTTTAAAATCTCACTAGCATTCATGACTCAAATATCACCAGAACCCAACATACAAAAAATAATCCCCAGCTCATAAGAAATACAGTAAGCTTTAGTGTGAACTTGTTTGTAAACATTTGGGTAAATGCCCAAAAGTGGGATTGCTGGGTCATAGGGGAGCTCTATGTGGAGTCTTTTGAGGAACCTCCATACTACTTTCCAAAGTGGTTGAACAAGTTTACACTCCCACCAACAATGCAGTAAGGTTCCTTTCTGTCCACATCCCCTCCAGCATCTGTTGTTATTAGAGTTCTTATTATAGCCATTCTAACTGGGGTGAGGTGGAACCTCAATGTTGTTTTGATTTGCATTTCTTTTATGGCTAGGGAGGTTGAGCATTTCTTCATGTGGCCATCCTTCTTTCCTCTTCAAAGAAGTTTCTCTTAAGTCTTTAGCCCACTTATTTATTGGGCAGTTGTTTCTTTGAGGATTTGTTATTGGGGGATTTAATTTTTTGAGTTCCAAGTATATTTTAGATATGAGACCCTTGTTCATTGTATGGCTAGTGAAGATCTTCTCCCAATCTGTAGGCTTTCTATTGATCTTGCTAGCTATGTCCTTTGTCATGCAGAAGCTCTGGAACTTCATGCAATCCTATTTGTCCAATCTTTGTTGTATGTATACACAATGGAATTCTATGCCTCCATCAGAAAGAATGACATTGCCCCATTTGTTAGGAAATGGAAAGACTTGGAAAAAATTATATTAAGTGAAGTAAGCCACGCCCAAAGAAACATAGATCCCATGGTTTCCTTTATTTGCAATATCTAGTAAATGTCTGAATCAAGCAGAAAAGGTCAGATAAGGTGATGTTAGGGAAATGAACCCTAAGATATGTATTCAAATGTTTTTTTTTCTTTCATGCGATTGTTTCTAACATATTTATAAGATTATTTCTTTGTTGCTTTGTATGTCCCTCCCGGACAGTATAACCCCTGCTTTCACTGTATTTGATGTCGGTATAATTTGTGGAGGGGAAGGGGAAAAATAAATAGTTTAAATAGGGATACAGGTGGACCCATTGCCACAATGAGATGTACAAGTCATTATGTCGAAAACAAACTTTACAACTTTGGTGTGGAGGGAGGGGGAGCGGGGAGGATTGGGTGGGGGGGGCAGGGGGAGGATGGGAAGGGGAAACAAAGAGGAGCCTACAATGCTTGATAAGAAATGTACTCATTATCTTGCCCATGTAATTGTAACCCCTCTGTACAGTATTTTCACAATAAAAAATTAAAAAAAAGATATACAGTAAGCAAGATACACTACACATTATAGTGATATCTTGATAACCATCAACTTCTGACTGTAGAACGTGGTGTGTGTGTGTGTGTGTGTGTGTGTGTGTGTGTGTGTGTGTGTGTGTGTACACATATGTGGATGTAGTTTTGTGTGTAATACATTCAGAAGATGAAAAGCAGTTACATTAATTAAAAAAGAAACTGGAAAGACAACAGACACATGCAATAGACAGTGATCTCAAGAGTTTCATGTAAAAAAATCTACATTACTGAAGTGTTATGTTTTGTTTTGGGCAATACTGAAGTTTGAATTTAGGTTAACAGCCTCCTGCTGTCTCCCATTTGAGTTATGCCTCTAAGCCCTACATAGCAATATTCTTAAGAGAAATTGTGATTACTCAAACGTTAATGCTGAAATATTTGGAATTTTTAATTAGCATTAAAAATACCATGAATCCTATAGAATCAAATTAATTTGGTGACTCTAGGAAGAAGAGGAAAAGGTGGTAAGGCCAACTTATGAGAATAACTGCTTCTGAGAACAAGCTGAATTGAAAGCAAAATTGAGCATAGTTTCTAATATGTAATAATTTGCTTTATGTAACATAATGCTTAGGCTATCCATAGAGTTAAATTATTTCAAGGAGCATCTTTTACTATTCTCTTCAATTTTCGGCAGAAATGAAGATAGGAAAGTGCACATAATGTCTGATTCTTTCCATAAATCTAAATATGGTCCTGCTCTCCACCCTTATAATCTGGGACCCACATTTCTAATAGCCCTCATCAAATGAAGCAAAGGTGGAAAAAAATTCAAAAAGATTTTGAAAGAAGTACTTTTATATTTAATATTCATAGTAATTATCTCAAGAGCTTGCTAGAAGAAATAAACATGGCAAGTATATACAAAGACCTGGTATAGCTACAAAGAATTCTGGGATCTTTTTTGTTTGACCAAACATCTCAGATGATTACAATGCCACAGGTATTTAGACTATATTATTAGAAATATTTCCCTCAGTCTTATAAATGTCTGCTGACTAAGGAAAAATACTCCAGAGGATAAAATGTCATTTCTCCTTTGACATTTTAAAGTAACTGAATTTCATGTTATACATCATTTTTAATGGAAACATTTAATGGTGCTTAAAATATCAGATATCGGTTGGCCTATTGAATAAATGTATCAATAGCTTTTATCATTTCTTCGAACTGTCTATACAACTTAAAATTTGTTACATTTTTGTGACATAAGAAATCCACAATCTCTAGTAATTAAATGAGTAATAAAAGCAAGGTACTTATTTTAAAATATCGACCTTATATAATTATGTTCATAATGTAGGAGTTAACAAACTTATGACAATCAATTAACTCTTGCAAAACAATTAGTAAAACAAGACATTCAAATCTTTATCTTTAAATAAATGTCCATGCTAAACTTAGCTTCATAAATGAGAACCCACATGTTTATTAATATATCTAATTATAGAGTTACTTGACATCTTTTCCCGACTAATTTATACTTGCTATTTTTTGTGTTAATTTCAAATCAATGCATCGTATTGTTGTTTTTAAGCTATATCTTTCAAATGCTTCATTATGCAAATAAGTATCTTTATATAAACCATTTAAATTATACCATAGGCAAATTGTGACAGTTACAAGGGTTAATTTTCTGCTATTTTCTTCTATATTTTAACACATTCTTGGAAAAGGTAATTGCCTAAGTACTGTCATCATGAATCTACTACTTATTCTGGAGGAGGGAGGAATATCCCACCAAAAGTAGTTTTGAACACATACACTTCTTTTATTTATTTTTCATACACTTCTTTTAAAACATGTGCTCAGTACTTCAGTTGTTCATTAATAAAGTGAATGCTTTAGAGTCTTGCATTCATTATTTCATCCCAAGAAAGCAGACCTGAAGGGGCCATCAAGCACTCTGAGCTACCACATCACTACAGCCTCTAGCCATCCACAGCCTCATGATCATGCTCTCTCCTGCCGTAGTTAAACTAATAATATTAGTAACTCCTAAACTAGATCTAGACTACAGGAATGAAGACAGATTGAGGAAGTTCTCATGAAGTAGTTGGAGCATCATACCTAGATTGAAAACATAAGCAGTATTATTTCCCCAAATTTAACCAACACAGCATTATTCCCAGTTCACTATGCTGACTCCAGACTGCCAAATCCATGACATTTCATAACCTGAAGGGCCTATTTTGAAATTTGTATTCATTGTTTTACCGTACAGAGGGGTTACAATTACATTAGCAAGGAAATGAGTACATTTCTTATCAAGCATTGTTGCCTCCTCCTGATTGTTTCTTGCCTAAGAACCAATGATGTCTCCCCATTTTCACATAGTCATAACTCCGCATTGTGGGCAGCCATCATGTCTTTTGTATAGGGTCCTTATATCTGACTGTCTGACTGGAAATCTTATTTCATTTTAATACACCTCTAGCATCAGTCAGCAGATAGACAATACTGATACATGAGGCATCATTGTTCACAATGTTCTCCCAACTGGAATGCTAAGACAGATATGTGTACCTATGTTCCTTGTACTTTCTTAAATTAA